GAGGAGGGCCCAGCGCAGAGATTGGGGTAGGGGCTGGAGAGGGGAGAGATGGGCAGTGGGAAGGAGCTGGGGAGGGTCTAGTACAGATATGGGGAGGGGGCTGGGAGAGGAAAGGCAGGGCTGTCAGGGAGAGCAGGGGAGGGGCCTGAGGAGGGGCAAACTGGGCTGTGGGAAGGAGCCAGGCTGAGGCTAGTGAAGGGGGCCCCAGGGCTGCAGGGCGGGGCTGTGGGAATGTGCTAGTGAAGGCCAGAGGTGGAGGGGAGGGGCGACAGAGACGGGGCTGGGGGGACCAGGGCGGGGCCCTGGAGAGTAGATTAGTGGGAATAGTGCAGAGAGGGGTGGATGATAGGTGGGAACAGGGCAGAGACAGGAGGGAGGGGCTGGGAGGACCAGGGTGGGGCCATGGGAAGGGGCTTGGTGGGAACAGTGCAGAGAAGGGAAGGGGCTAGGTGGATACAGTGCAGAGAAGGGAAGGGGCTAGGTGGGAACAGTGCAGAGAAGGGAAGGAGGGGCTGGGAGGACCAGGGTGTGGCCATGGGAAGGGGCTTGGTGGGAACAGTGCAGAGAAGGGAAGGGGCTAGGTGGGAACAGTGCAGAGACCTGAAGGAGGAGCTGGGAGCAGCAGCACAGGGCTGTGGGAGGCAGCAGGGGAGGGGCTGGTAGTGTGAGGTGGAGGGGTGCGGGGGAGGAGCAGGCCAGGGCTGTGGAAAGAGCTGAAGCAGAAGGTAGTAAAGACCTAGGGGAGGAGGAAGGAGGGTGGAGCTGTGGTTGCAGGAGCTGGGGGCAGAGCTGCAGAGGGACCTTGGGCAGAGCTGTGAGGAACAGGGCCAAGGGGTGCGATTTATCAGGGGAGCAGCTGGTGGGTAGGACCCGTGGTAGGCAGAGCTGGAGCAGGGCCTTGGGGCCTTGTGCACTGCACCCCTGGTCCTCAGGGGCCTCACCTGGCCCTCAGTGTGCACCCCGGAGGCTGCCTGCAAGAGGGGTGGCACGTGGGCCTGGGGTCCAGGGAACTCTAGGCAGAGCCAGAGTCTTGGGGCGCCGCTCCTTTCTCCCAGCCACTCTGTGGGTGACTGCCAGGGACGTCCAAGAGGGTCCATCCTTTTAAGGCCTCTCCTGCACGTGAGGACAAAAGCCCGACTGTCTGTCCTCAGATCTAAGTTGTCCCAGAGAGGAGCCCACTTGCCCACAGAGCTGCTTTTGGTGTCTCCTGCGTCTCTGTGAGGGGCTGGGCCTCCCCTCCGTGCTGCCACTCCTGGCTCCTCCATCGGCTTTCCTTTCCGAGGCCTCCCATCTACTAGGTAACCGCCTTCCAAGTCCCTGCCCCCACCACCTATGAGAAGCAGTGCGCTCTTCCTGGGGCCCTGCCGGCGCCTGTGCCCTGGGTCCAGGAGCCTCCTCACAGGCCCCAAGGCCACCTCTCTCTCCCCACTCTGGTCTCCTGTACACTCAGCCTGTTGCTGCTAAATGGCCGACCTGTCTCCAGCGGCCGAAGGCTGCCAGACCTTCTGGGGCTCAAGTGCCAAGTCCTCGGGGAGCGGGCCAGTGGTCAGCCTCCTGATGGTCAGATGCTCCTGGGGTTCCTCTGCCCACTGGTCCCA